AATTTCACCCTCCGTTTGTGACTATCACCCTTCTTTCACCGTTTGTTCGAACCGTTTCGTTTCGTTTGGTCGGACTTTGTCACAGTCACCGTTTGGTCGGACCTTAACCCTTAAGCCTTTGTCACAGTCACGGACGCCATCATGGGGTCGAACCGACCGACAGTCTGCCCGGCCCAGGAGGCATTTGGCCAAGAAGGATCACGATTACTGAGAGCTCATCACCACCTTGCCCACTGTTAGCGATAAATAACCATTGAGAGAGAGAAGGGGTCGCTTAAGAGAGAAAAGGGGTCGCTTGAGAGATAAAAGGGGTAGCTTAAGAGAGACAAAGGGGTCGCTTGAGAGAGAAAAGGGGTTGGCTATACTCACAGCAAACCTGCAATACTTCCGCATTCCACCGAATCGAATGTGATGGTCATTATAGCTGTACTATTTGGTTAGGGGCAACTACGAGTCTTGATAGATAGCTAAGGAAGATCATGACGGTACGGGCTATTCGGAGGAAGAAGGTAGCAGACTGTCTATCTCAACCACTTGACGATAACGGCGGCAGGGAATCCGGGAAACTGCATTAAATTTTGCTTTGTTCTTCCTTTCGAACTCGAATAGAACGTTTCCGGTCACGCTCTCCTTAATATGTACACTCGAATAGAATGTTTCCGGTCACGATTCGCCATTGAATGCTGCGACAGTGCGACACGTTCATCTTCGGCAGTATCGAGGACGTTCACGGTTCATCCCCCGTTTGAGCTTCGGCAGTATCGGGAATACAACACTGTTACACTGTTTCATTTACTCTGTGTAGTGTCCGACTTGACCTAGTTGTTGGTGTGTCGTCCACTCTTTGATGATCGTCGTCCTCCTCCTCCTTTCTCTATCTTCCCTCTTCTCTCTCTTTCCTTATCCTTCCTTTCCCATTTCTCTCTTCCTCCCTCCCCCCACCTCTCTCCTCCCTCTTCCTTCCTTCCTCTTCTTCTCCTCTGTTGATCGATGTATTCGTCAAGGGATACGAGCTTATGAACGGCACTCGCATCGTGTGATGTCATAATGCCCGTGCGTTCTACTGGGTTCAAGTCGCAGGTCCATCACAGCCCTAATACCCTCTCTCTCTCTCTCTCTCTCTCTCTCTCTCTCTCTCTCTCTCTCTCTCNCACACACACACACACACACACACACACACACACACACACACACACACACACACACACAAAACAAGCAAGCACATGCAGCCGGCGCCAGTCACTGGACCATCTGCAGACTCAAGGGGAGATAATTCGCCTTGAAGGAGATGTTTCGGCCGGCGCCAGTTGCGTATAGCGAAGACACACACACACACACACACACACACACACACACACCAAAACACACACACACACACATACACACAGAAAAAAGCAGCAGCCATGGGCAGCTGGCCCACGCACCGACACCCAAGTGGCCAACGGTTGTGACAGCCCAGTTCCAAGCACATAGACGCCCAAACGAGAACAAATGGGCGCCACGTGGATAGCCATAGCGAGCGAATAGAGGACCAGCAGGGAGTCGATAACGGGCAGCGAGGGTCCGGGATAAGCACCGCTGAATCAGAAGACATTGAACGTCCGAAAAAGAAGAAAAGGTAAGAAGGAGATCAAGAGGAAAAAAAGAGAGCGAAATCAAAGAAAGAAAGAAAGAAATCAGCAAATCACCGCCGTAAGAACACATTTAACGACCGAGAAGAGCAATAAGAAAAGAGAGAGAGAGAGAGAGAGAGAAAGAAACAACGAAAGAAGGAAACGAAGACGAAAAGAGCGAAAAGCACCACGAGGAGGAGGAGGAGAAGGAGTAGCAGGAAGGGGACAGGAAAAATAACAGACCTCTCTCCTTGGTCCTTCCAATGGCATGAGATGGCGCTCACGTCCTCCGTCATGCTTCCTTTCTTCTCTGACCAACACCCCCTTAGCCGAGTGGCAAGTGCTGTTGTCAGTGTTGTGTGTGTCATCGGGCCTCGCTCCACTTCTCTCGAAATGTGCGAAACGAGAGTGGGAGTCTTCCTCTAGAACACACTGCCATGAGTTTTGGCTTTTGTGCATTTCGAGAGTCGTGTAGCGACGCCCATTGTCTCTGTACAGCATAATCAAGCCGACTGAGTTCAAGGGAAAGAGGCTTCAGCTAGAAACCCAGCAGCAGAGTGCCTGCCACGTGGATGAATGGCATCAAAGTGACCTCACATTATTCATGCAGAGCTTACTTCATTGCTGGTCTTTTATTTCCAACGGGCCCAGTCAACAGCAAATCGCCCTCGCTCCACTACTCTCCAAACGTGGAAATGAGAATGAATGTTCGGCTAAAACATGGGTGGGAAGATACACGTCCATCCTTTTTGTCTTTTGTACATGTGCAGAGTAGTGGACCGGGGCCCGGTGTCCAACCTCTCTCTTCCCCGTCACAGCGGTACTACCTACCTTCTTCCCCCCAATAGAACGTACGGTCATTATAGCTGTATTTAGACTGCAGGGGCTAGGCCAAATTCAGCGATAATGACCGCACGCTGCATTCCGTCGGGGGAAGAAGGTATCTGACCGCATTTACGGCCCGACGTGCATGTATCTGCCCCAGACTGACCGCTATGACATCCCCCTATATAAGTACGGAAGTTCTAGTGTGAGTACGCCGTTATTCCTGTGAGAATGCCCCTCCTTTCCCTGTCAGAGAGTCTTCGCAGCCTCCCTGACGTCACAAGACTCCTGGGGCTGGGTCCCACTGTCCCACTGTCCCACTGTCTACGTGTAGTTGTAGCTAACAACATGGTGGGACACCGTGGGAATGGTGCCACAGCGTGGGCAGGCACCCAGGTGGCATTTCGTGTAGGTGGGGTCAGTCAATCGTCTGCTTGGATACTGTTCTTGGCCGGTTCCGAGGCTGATGGTACTGGGGCCAGGGGGTGTCCATATAAGCATCGCAGGCCCCTATGTGGGTGGACTACGTCCACCCACATAGGGCGCAGGATGCAGGTTAAGGGGTTACGGGGTCGAATCCCTACGACGCTTTTGTTGCGTTTGTCTTGCGCAGTGCTCCCAAGGTCGTTGGTGTAACCCCCACGCCAAGGGTTGTGTGAAATTCCATAGTGTGCGGTCCCCACCGTGATTCGTAATGGATCGTTGAATCCAAATGGAGTGCATGCGTCATCCCAGCGTCCTTTCTCTTTTTTCTCTATTTTTTTTCATTCATTACTAATTGAGAGAGTCCCCTCCATATCGGTTCTGGTGTGCGGCTATCTTGTTCGTGGTCTTCACAGGCGTTTTGTTTTTTTGTGCATGTTTGTTTTTTTTTTCTTTTTTTTAAAAAAAAAAGGCTAATTCTTTGAAGCCCAACCAATTCAATTACCTGTCAAACCTGGACAGGACGGCCTTTCAGGACTTTTTTATTGTCATTATAGTATTACGGGAACCCCCTAGCAGCCACATCCGTGCTCAAGCCTCCAACGAGGGAACATGCGGGAGCTGCACCCACCAGCAGGTGGGATAACTGCTACAGCAGGTGGGCGATACCGGCCAGGGGTCAGCCGGTAGCATCAGGACCGAGCTTCTTCGATGGGCCAGTCACTGTGCCTCCCCTCCGGTCCCCTCCCCCTATGAACATCAGCAGTCTCTGCTCAATGCCACTCGAGCTTCTTCGATGGGCCAGTCACTGTGCCTCCCCTCCGGTCCCCTCCCCCTATGAACATCAGCAGTCTCTGCTCAATGCCACTCGGGGGGACCAGTGGCGGGCGCCAAGCTTGCCCAGGAAGGTGCATGAGGCCAATGGGGATTGAACCCAAGACCTCCTGAATGCCACTTGCATGCCTTACCAACTGAGCTAGGCTGCTGGATTTTGTGCATGTTTGGGTACGTTTAGTGTCCGCAGACATTTGTTGGAATGTTGGAAAAAAAAAAAAAAAAAAAAAAAAAAGAGTCCCCTGACTCCCCTCCATATAGTCTTTTTTTTTTTTTTAACCACATTTCAATTCCATTCCAAATTCCCATCCAGAGGCCGGGGACCTCACAATTCAACCCGGAGTTATCCCGGCAGCATCAGCCGGTTTAGCTTAGTGGCCATTATCGGTTTGGCTTCCTTAGTGGTAGGAAGGTAGTGAAAGGCAAAAAGAATTTGAGAGAAGAACACAGTGTAGTTAAAAAAAAAGCAAAAAAAGAATAAAGAGGGGGTGGCCAATCCCCACAACAAGGCCCATGCTGGGAGCATTACCCAGTTTCGCTTTTTACGGGACACATCTTGGAGCCCGTAGAAAGACACTCGCTGCTACTTCTCCCTGTGGTTGGGGGATTTTGGAGACTCAGTGTTCTGGGAATAAAGAGACAGAAGAGATAGGGAACAGAAAGAAGAAGGAAGGGACACGCAGTTCCTGCCCCCGTGACGAAAACCACTCCAAAACCCTTTCCCCGCTGCCCTCTCCCTCTACTGGCATCCCCTGCCGCTCTCATCTACTACATTACTCTACACCCGTCTGACCTTGTCTAGACCCCACACAGGGTCAACTGACCTATCACGACTCAGCTTCTACTCTGTCTCCTCTTTGCTTCCTACCAATGGGATAGCACCGGTCCTCCTGTGGACCTGACCAGGACCGAGAAGCCAGGTCCAACGAACAAGCTCCGCCCATACCTCCCACACCCTCACCCTCCCATCTCTCCCATCCCTCCCAATACTCAAACCGCACTATAGAGATATTCCCCCTTCCTACTCTCCTACCCACAACCCCCTCAACCCCCTCTTGCCTTGCCCAGAACCTTCTACCCAGACCTCCAACTTTTCTCAGAACAAGACCAAACGAATCCGATTCAATAACCAGTCAAATCGAGTCAAAACAGATCCCTTCCTACTTAAAGCACCTCCAATCCTGCCCATTACCAAACCCAAACCCGCAGAATTGTCCCATGTGAGACTCTCAGCTGACTCTTTGACAATGTCAGTGGAGTATTCTTCTGTGCCTCCCTTCTGGACTCAACCAGGGAGATAGTACCAGCTCTCCTTCCAATGTCACAGCTTGCATCAGAAACAACAACAAATGAAGACAGTGGTTGTAGCCTCTGGGCCTCGCTGCACTACTCTACCTTCTTTCCCCGAATACAAAGTACGGTAATTATAGCTGTATTTAGACTGAAAGATAACCCAAATTCAGCTATAATGACCTTACGTTGTATTCGGGGGAAGACTGTACACTCGTGAAAATTTTATAGAGTAGTTCTAGAGCTGGAAGCCAAGAAGACGGAGATGCAGGAGCAGTTAACCAGTACACGGACAGCTGTCATCGCGTTCATGGGTATTCACCACATGCACAAGCAGCAATACGGAGAGCAAAGACATTTGAAATTCTGTCTTTGTGTGGGCAAACTTCGGTGGCAATTCGGAGAGCAACGGCGTTGGCCTCCTCCGTCCCCCTATGTCTTCGTGGACTGCAAGTGCATCCACCATACTTTCAATCGTGCAGGGCTTGGTGGCTCTGTACACTTGTCCTGCTGACGACTGTGCTGCCAGCAGTGATCACATGAGCTGATGTCCTGCTGACGACTGCGCTGCCAGTAGTGATCATGTGAGCTGACTTCATCATATCGGTGATCACATGTGATCTCTCTCTCTCTCTCTCTCTCTCTCTCTCTCTCTCTCTCTCTCTCTCTCTCTCTCTCNCTCTCTCTCTCTCTCTCTCTCTCTCTCTCTCTCTCACACACACACACACACACACACACACACACACACACACACACACACACACACACACACACACGCGCGCGCGCGCACACACTATGTATGAATGGGCATTGCATGGAACGCAAGGTCCACCAGGACGTCTTTTGGGCAGCCGCCACGGCCCGCCAGTGCTTACATACGCGGACATTGCCGCATTGGGGGTCGTCGATGGCCACAACTGGAACTGAACTTGTGATGATCATGGGTACCTAGTCCTTGGCTTTGGTAACGGTAGTATATTAGTGCTGGGCGGCTCTCGAAATCCTTTTGAAAGGCGTGAGAAGGAGGAAATGTTTCGGATACGGATTCTACAAGAAGGACAGGTATTTAAGGTTTTCCTCCCTCAAATACCGATCCACGAGCTCGCCTTCGATCCCGATGAATGGCGATGGCAGACGGGCTCAAGATCGGGACCATCAGCCACAAGGAAAATCTGCCTCAACACAATCTCTGTCAAATCTATATACAAGATGCTCAGGCCCAAAAGAGTGCTAAAGGATCGCCTAATTGACAGGTGGGCTCAGCACCTGAATGTTGACCGATCCTCCCTCACCCCCATAAAATGGTTTAAGGAAACTAAATCTAGGCCAGCAAAGCTTACCTCGCTCCAATGGCAGATTGCACACCGGTGCCTGCCAACAAATGCCTGGTTGATTGATCACACACAACTGGAACAGAAGGGGAAAGCACTCCCATGGTGCCACCGCTGCTTGTCTGTATTTCCAGAGAGAAAAAGAAACGAGACCATTGAACATATTTTTATGCAATGCCCGGTGGCAGTCTGGACATGGCGATGGTGGGACCGGGTCTGGAGGAAGGCAACTAATGTCCTTTGGCCATGGTCATGGCAAGCCATTCTAACAGGGCACTGCCCGGTTTTGGATGAAGCAGCCCCCTACGTCAGCAACCTATATAACCTAGGGAGACGATCGGTCCTATGGGCCTTGTGGTGGCAAAGGTGTACCTTAACTTTAGAGGGAGCGAGAATAGAAGGAAACGAACTGACTGAGCAAATAAAAGAACTAATCCAGCTGGACCTAACACGAAGATGGGGAGCTCTCAAACCCCAGCTTGACCTTTCTCAGACAGAGCAAGATATAAAGAAAGGGATAACTGGGTTCTGCGAGGAATGGCTGGGTGGGCAAAGGGGGGGATGGTTGGCTCAGATAGAATGGTCGGGGGACAGAGTCGATATAACCAGACAAGGGATTGCGAGGGATTATAACATTGTCTTCAAGGACTGGACTAACATTGACCCCTCCTTTCCAATGAGACACCCATCTGAGTTCCCGGACCCCTTCCCACCCCACCCCCTTGCCCTGGTGGAAGCCCTGACTTGAATCAGAAAGGTGGAAGCCC